TTCTGCATCCAAAACACACAGAATGTAGGTTATATGGTTGTCAGTGTCATAGTTCACATCAGTGCTTGCAGTTCCAGTGCGTTCCGGTTGCAGAAAAAAAAGTAGAATAAGCTGCATTTTTTTCTGCACAGACCTGTACTGCAATGCGATAAAATGTATAAAAAACGCACTTGAATGCACCAAAATGCACCAAAAAAAATGACTGGAACACACATGTCCCTATTTGAATTGAAGAAAAAACTGGAATGCATCAAAAATGCATCAGAATGCATCAAAACCGAACATGTGGAAATACATCTGGAACACATCTGGACTGCATTTCTATAGTGTGAACGGCCCTAAATGCAGCCAAACTATAGCCTTCTAATGGTAGTTTTGTTTTCCATTATTAACATGAAATTCCAAGCCATCAACTAAGGACGCAGTTGAAATAAAAATATTTAAATGGTTTTGCTTGCCAAAAGATCTATAATCCTGTGCAGCCAGTACTGTGATCCACACACCCTTATCGCATAGCTTAGCAGGTGACACTACTGTCCTTCCTGATTCAACTTTGCTTCCAATATCACTTCCCCACAGTCATTCTTCTCATCAGGCAATGAATCAGAATCATCACACGGCTGATTTGCTGTACAGAGAGCAAGGAGTAAACAGCAGAAATAGGAAATAGTGTTGTCACCTAGTTGGCTAATTATGACAGTATAACAGAGATTTATGAATCACAAGACTGGCTGAACAGAGTTAAATATTCTTTGGCAGGCAAAAATGCAAAACTTTGTATTTTAATTATGCATTTAGCTGTTTGTCTTGAGTCCAGCTTTGAAGATATATTCTGGTCAGGCATGAAATTTTTCATGTAAACGCCGAGTGCCTATCTGCTGAGTGACTTTAATTTTCACTCTGGCATTCATCTTGAGCAGCTGGCAGCTCCATTCATTGACTGGAATTTAGTTAATAGGGAGGTTGTTTAAACAAATTTAAACACAACACTAAAAATAGGAGGCATACAGCAGGTAGACATCTTTTTTAAAGTCAGATTAAATGCTTTATTTTCATGTTTGTTTGGAATGTGCGTTTATAAAGGTAACCTGTCTTGATGGATGTATTTTATAACTGATTAGACTTCGATCCAGTGCTAGGGGCTGTCATTGTCCAACTCCTGGAAAGGTATCTCCACCATAGGCAGTGCAAATGGTGCAGCATTAGGCTCCATATACACTGCAGCTGATAAACTCACGTTTAGGAGCTTTTCTGCATTGTTTTTTTCAGCATCCCCTGAACTCTCCCTAATGTTTTCCTATGTGTCCATGTACACATCGTCGTTTACAGTTGTTTACAGGCAGTTGAGTTTTTACAGTCGGTTTTTTTTAACGCACCAAACTTGCATTCAGCAGTAGATTTTATCAGCGTATAGCGGTTAGCCTCTGATTGGCTATCACAGTGATCAGTCACTGTACAGCCCAGTCCCCTTGTTGTTTTTTTTTTCTCTCTATGATACATTGTATCTCTCTAACTCCTGGCATAGAGGGGGGAAAAATGTTTGTAAAAAAAAAAAAAGATACATTAAATATTAAAAAAGAAAAGAAAAAATAAAGAAAAAAATACCCAGATCAAGGTTTGATCTAGTTCAGTGTCATGGTAAGTGTTTGGGTCAAGGTCAGGGTCAAAGGTCAGGATTTAAAAAAAATTTGGTGCCAGTGTCTTTTAGGTAAAAACAAAAACAAAATGTGCACTATTGTTTCTGGGCTGTGCTACGGGTACAAATAACAAATAACATACACATATATGGTATTGGTGTGATCGTCAAGAGCTGGAGAATTTATTGTGGGTTGTTCTTTGGTGGTTGGTTATTGTAGTGACAAGAAACACACAGCTAAATAAAAAAAATATTTTTTTTTACTATTTTGAGCTAGTTTTCCTTTGATAATAAAAACAAAAATCAGGAAATATCCATTACCATTTACCACCAAATGAAAGCCCAATTTGTCCTGAAAAAAACAAGGTATAATCCACCTGGATGTACAAAGTAGTTGTGATGATATGTACGTTTAACTTACACATGTCAACATTGAAAAATTGTGCTTAGGCATTTAGATTTGTTTTACTCTTAGGCGTGAAGGGGTTAAGGTAAATCTTTCATAGTGTGCATACTAGAACATTATGATATTACCTTGCATGGGGAAATCTTTTTTTTTCACTACCACTTTAAAGTGTTGTCCTTAAAGTGATAGTCAAGTTTTGCTTTTTTTTTAAAATAACAAACATTTTATACTTACCTGCTGTGTGCAGTGGTTTTGCACAGAACAGCCCAGATCCTCCTCTGGGTGACATGTTTCCTGTTCTCCTCCCCTGGGTGACATGTTTCCTGTTCTCCCTCCCCTGGGTGACATGTTTCCTGTTCTCCTCCTCTTTGTGACATGTTTCCTGTTCTCCTCCTTTGGGTGACATGTTTCCTGTTCTCCGCTGGGTAACATGTTTCCTGTTCTCCTCCATTGGGTAAAATGTTTCCTGTTCTCCTCCTCTGGGTGACATGTTTCCTGTTCTCCTCATCTGGGTGACATGTTTCCTGTTCTCCTCCACTGGGTGATGTTTCCTGTTCTCCTACGCTGGGTGACATGTTTCCTGTTCTCCTCCGCTGGGTGACATGTTTCCTGTTCTCCTCCACTGGGTGATGTTTCCTTCTCTCCTCCTCTGGGTGACATGTTTCCTGTTCTCCTCCTCTGGTGACATGTTTCCTGTTCTCCTCCTCTGGGTGACATGTTTCCTGTTCTCCTCCGCTGGGTAACATGTTTCCTGTTCTCCTCCTCTGGGTGACATGTTTCCTGTTCTCCTCCTCTGGGTGACATGTTTCCTGTTCTCCTCTTCAGGGTGACATGTTTCCTGTTCTCCTGAGTGGAGCTCTAGTCTGCAGCCACACCCCCATGAAAAGTATACACAGCAAGTATGTGAAAGGAAATATGTGACCTCCACTTCCTTGAGTTGTGTCTATTGGTTGTTTGTTACAGTACAGTTCATGCAATAAAAAAAGTTTGAGTGGAGGTCACATGTTTCCTGTTGAGTGGAGCTCCACTCTGCAGCCTCTGCTTATTTGTTACATTAATGTTCACTAAAAAAAAAAAGATCACGTATTTACTGCAAAAAATGGAGCTCCATTCTGCAGCCAGACTCTATTGCTTCTCTCAGTAGCATTGTTTACCCAGCTTCACCTTCCCAGATCTCCTGCTCTGTTTGCATTACAGTGTTACTAAACACCGGATCCTGCATTCACTATATCTGGTCTCCCCAGTACAGCATGGAAATGCAATTATTTTAGTAAATATAAACTGCTAAATACCTTTTCTCATCAGCAGTTAGAGTAGTCTTGTGACTTCCGCTGAGCACTGGTTAAAGCTTGTAGGAGGAGTTTTCTTTCTGATCTAGGAGGATGTAGAACCCCTGACCTCTGTCTGGAGAGTGCTGATTGGCCCTGTGCAGATCATATGCACTCTCCCAAAAAAAAAAACCTCTCTAGCAATATGCACTAAACTGAGCATGTGCAGAAGGGCTACGGGTTCAGTCTGTCTTATCAGCATGGATATTTGAACAAGAGGAGGGGCAAAGAAGTCAGGATCAAATAGCCGTTTTACACAATGCAGAGGATTAACCCCTTAGGTTCCACAGTGAGTATAACAAGCATGCTTTACTGCATATACAGACTGATTTTACTGTTGTGGGTTAAGTAACACTTTAAGTATTAAGAATCTGGAAGGTTGCTGAACCTTTGCTGGGATTGGAGAGCAGAGGGAGTTGAGCTGCTGAACCATTGCAGTGAGAGGTGAGTAGAGGGAGCAGAGCTGGCAAGTGAACAACCTCTGGGCTTTTGTGGTGAATTTTGAGGATAAATTGTTCCTAAGTGTCTGTAGCTACAAAGGTCAGTGAGGGCTCGTTTAAAGATCACTCATTGCCTGTGGAGAATATACAAATATTTTATTGTACATACCTGATCACAAATTTACTTAAATGCCTTGCTGGCTAAACTGGAGGTACATCTTCTGCAGTCAGTGCTCTCACGTAGAAAAGACCTATTTGCTTAGAGCCTTTCAACACTCATGGGATTGCATTTTCAGATTTACAGAACAGATGGTTAGTAGAGTTTAAACAGGATGACCCCCCTGCCATTTGGCATCAGAAAACCAGTCATAAGGCTTTCCTTTTTCTTGCTGAAAATAGAAATCACTTTCAGCCTTTTCAGTGTCACCCAACATAAATCCTGTATGAGAACCCTCTCTCTCCTAGTGCCCACTGTGGAAGTTGACAGCAACCTATAAAACAAGAAGATTCTTTGTCTCTTATCATGAGCTCTGCACTTTTACACGACTGTTAACTAAAATGTTTATGTGTCTCTCATAGACCTAAGTGTGTAAAAGGTACAGTGCTTGGTCATTTATCCAATATCTGTTTTTTTGTATCTCTCCATAAATCTGGTATTTTGTGCAGTTGGACAGGGAAAAAAAAAAAGACACAAGAATGCAGTAGTGACTTCCTCTTTTTCTAGAGAAGAATTCACATTTATTTTAAAGGAACACTATTTTGTTTTATGTGTGTTTTCAATATAACATTACATCTTGGTATGGTATTTACATTTTAACATGAATTTTGTGTCATATATTTAAGATATATATATATATATATATATAGACAGCTTATGAAGAGTGCATGCAGATCAAAGCAGTAGGTTCTCTTTAATGCCAGCCCAGGACATACTCAACTTCCTTTTGCTCTCCCACTGTGCTTTTAGCTGTTAGGAGCAAAGAGACATAACTAGTATTTCCTGGTCAGTTGAGCATGTTACATACTCTCCCTCCACCTATGTAGCAGTGCTGTTGCTTACCAACTAGTCTATCAGGCACCCAGCGCCAGGGGCGGACTGATCATTTGGAAACTCGGGCACTGCTCGAGGGCCCGGGATCAGTAGCGGGCCCCATGAGATGCCCTTGGTACCTTTTTCATAGGGCTTTTTGGGACACAGGGGCCCCATGATCCCCTATTGCTCAGGGGCCCCATGAGTTGTCAGTCCGCCCCTGCCCAGCGCTATCATGTGTGGGACAGGGAGAGAGTCCTCAGCCTTTTGTAAGCTCTGACTAAGATCAATTTAGTCTTCTCTTCACTGGAGAAGCTGAGTGATGTGGTGGATGAGCAAAGAGAAGATAAATATCAGCTGCTTTGGGGTCTGACTTTAAAGTGAACCTGGTGTTTAACCCCTGCATAGGCAAAACTCAGATTCACTTGCAGGCAAAGTTTGAAGGTAAGGCTCGGGTTCAGAGTAAATGACATTAGTTTTTTTTAGAAGAAATATTCAGAAATATTGCAAGAGGTAACTGAGACAGTAATAAATACATAATATGGCCAAAAGTGTATGGACATCTCTTCAAATTATTGTGTTCAGATGTCCAGGGAATGGCACAGTTCATACTACAGCACACAAGAACATTTTTTATTATTATATTGTTATAATAAAGAAATGTATACTGTGCCAACAGTTTGTGCAAAGCTTTATAAAATAAAGACCGTACAGCTATAATACAACTCAAGACAAGAGGCACAGGAGAACCCTGCTTGTTTGCGCTTAAGACCTAAACAGAAGGGAGTGATACAAAAGGTAATACCTGGGTGGGGATGAGTCCTTCAGTTGTTAGGTAGTAAAATTCAATTGTTAGGCTGGATAGGCTTTCCTATAGAATATACTTTTTACTGATTGCCTAAAGGCAGACAGAGTAGGAGATAACTGGGCAGTAGGAAGTTTCAGAAGATGAAAGAGACTCAGGAGAAGTGGTGGAGGTGAGCATTTGTTATAGACTTAAGAGGGGAGTGATTTGGTAGCTTGGTGGGGTCATTGGTTAGAAAGGGACACATTATAGAAATGCTATAGCAGAGAAGGCGCAAAGATTTGGACAATGATTGATGTGGGGCTAAAAGGAGAGACCAGAGTCCTTTATTGCACCTAGCAGACTGGTATATGAGTGTGTGTGTGTGGGGGGGGGGATAGTTGTGTTATTAATTTTAATGGAAATGTCTGGGAAAGAGGCATGAGGTGAGTAAATATTATGAGCTCAGTTTTTCAAAGATTGAGTTTTAGAAAGTGATTTGTTATCCATACTGATATGTCAATTAGTAAACTAGTGATGCACAGAGAAACTGAAGAGGTAAGCTGGGAAATAGAGAGATGGATTTAGGTGTCATCATTTAAGACTATTGTGCACTTCCAACCTTGTGGCAACAGTTTGTGAAGGCCCCCATTTGTTTCAGCATAACTGTGCTCCCATGTACAAAAACAGCTCCATAAAAATATGGTTTGTGTAAAGGAACTCAATGGGCCTGCACAGAGCCCTGACCTCTTCTGGCTGAATATCTACACGTTCCCACAAATGCATGCTCTCTCTCATGGAAAGCCTTCTCAAAAAAGTGGCTTTTTAGCTGCAAAGTGAAGGGGGCTGGATAAACAACATAGAAATGTACATGGTTTTGGAATGGGGTGTCCATATACTGTAGGTGTGATGGTCAGGTGTCCATAAAAAAAATACTGTATAGTGTATGTATAGGTGATACTGAAATTTTTAAAGGATAAGTTCACCTTTAGTAACATGTTACCCTTATTCAGGGTGTAAAATGGTACTAAAGCGCCTGCCCACAACCCACCCTCCCCATCCCTTTTTGTAACAGTGGGTGGGAGATCCTCTCCCTGCCCCCGCTGTCACAATTTAAAAACTTGCAACCTGTGAATGACGGCTCGTAGTTCTTAATGAACTGCATGAGTGTTGATGAGCTTTCTCATAGTTCATTGATTCTTCCTGGACTTCAGTAACTGTCTGCCTGTACCTCCCATACGTGTACTGAGAGTGTGCAGGAGCCTGACATTGCACTCATAATCTGCTAATCGTGGGTACAGTGCCCTGCAGGCTCCTTTGAAAAAAAAAAAGATGCACATTTTTTTACCTGCAAGAAATGTGCATTTATTATTATTATTTTTAAAAAAGTGAACTTGAAAAGAGATCCTTTAACATGAAAACCAGAGGCTGCAACCCATAGTAACCACACTAATGTTTCTTTGGCAGACCCACAATAGATTTCAGGAGTCAATCAGCCAGGGCTGAGGGGTAGAAACAACCCACCCATCAGTCATTTCTCGGGTACTAAAGGGACATTCCTCTGAATTTGTTTCTTTGAAAAATTCTCTTAAATTAAAAATATTGCATATATACTCATGACTCCTCAATGTAAATGTATTTACAGCCTGATTTATTATGTTTCAAACACAAGAAACTACAAAGGGACTGAGCTGTCTTGTGCACATATTCTGAATGCGTACAGACCTAAGAGATGTTGTAGCTGGATAAAATAAACATTTGTCCCAGGAGCCCTTGAAGAAAGCTTGCGGGTCCATCTAAACATTTGTCTCCCCTATGTGCAAGCGGCGTGCTTTCCACTGGCAGCTCCTCTATATCATGGAGCTTCTGCGAAAAGCAGGGGAGCCCCAAGGGGGACCCCAGCTGACCCCCTGAGAATTTGTGATGAGAAATCTATTAATGACTGATGACTGCTTGTTCTACAAATTGATTTCAGATTTTGGCTCTTAAGGGAAAAAAAGAAGTTTCTGCCAAAATCAATGTGCTTACAACATTAAAATACCAGCGGGGACATGTATCACTTCATTAGTTCTTTCATGTATTCCACACAGCAATGGAGTTAAAAGGAAAATGTTTTTTTTTTATCAGTATCTGCCTTTTTTTCTTTGTGGTCTTCACCTGTTAATCTTGATTTTAAATCTTATTTTGATTTTATAGATGATGGTTCATGCTTTTCAAAAGAAGAATGTTTAACCTCTTCCCAAGTTTGCCCACACAAGGACACATTTTGGTACTTAAAGGGAAAATGCCTGTTTGCAGGCCAGTGAAAATGGTGATCTCTGTGGATTGGCATATCAGGCAGGCATTTAGCATTTGTAGAAGGTGGTTAGTAATGGTGGGCCACAGATTTTATTCTGGTCAGGTTTACTTCATTGGTAATGTGCATTGTTTTTAAATATGTTCTACCTTCTGTCCTTGCTTCTTTTCTCTCTTTTGATTTTCTTTACATTTTGTAAGTGTATTTTCAGTCAGGCAAAGAACTACAGCATTCGAGTATATTATATTCACCATCTGCAGCCAGCAGATGGTGCAGCTGAGTCTGCATCTGTTCAGTCATATCTGACTCTTAGAAATTCTATGGGCCAACTCTCGAACCCTGGTTTATATAGATCCGTTTTTGGATGCGTTTTGAACTGAAGTGATTTGCATGACATGAAATAAAATGCTTTCCTATGGAGGATGTTTACATATATGCAGTTGAGCCACAGTTCTATTTGTAAAAAAGAGTTGTGTGAGTGGAGAGGTGTGATATGTTTTTGAACTCTATAGACTTGAATTGAAAAATGTGAAATGGTTATTTGTTTAGATACAATGCAGTTCCAATACATTTTGTGTGACAAGGAGAGAGAGAAATCCAAAATGGCAGCTGTAAAGAAATTGCATGAAAAACGCATTGACATTAAAGCTGAACCGCAGGTGAATTGCAATGCAGCTGCTCACCAAATGACACTTGAAAACTGACAGAATTCACATCACTTATGCCTGAACCTTGAAAGCCTGATACACTTGAAAGCCTTTTTCCATAGAAGTTACTTGGCAGATTATTTGAGGTAGGTCATCAGGTGTTTCCTCAACCATCCAATTGTTCAGCCTGGGACCGTCATGCAGAATGTGTTAACACATGCTCAAAGCTAATTTGTACATACTATGGCAAATTTAGACAGGAGACAATTAGCATACGAGCATGTCTTAGAAAGTTCGAGGAAACTGGAGTACCCAGGTGAAACCTACTCAAACACAAGAGGAACATAAAAGCTCCACAATGCATTTTATTTATATAAAAACAGTAAAAAAAACAAATATACACGGTAGCTACCAGTAGTGAGATTTTTGCGTATCAAAACAAAATATGGAATCAAGGTACAGTTACTTCTTGAATGATATCAACTACCGTAATTTTGTCAACTTTGATTTCAGTTTTTATAATGTAGAGAATCCAGTGTATGGATACCTCCAGTTAACAACCACTGCCATAGTGTGTCTCTGTATAACTGTGGTAGAGACAGCTGTAAGTTTCTACAGTTGAATTGACCGGTGTGATTGGTCAGTGACCATAGCTGGGATAAAGCTGTATGCACCATGTGATCTTTGGCATCAGCTGGAGCAAGCAAACACATTTGCACCATTTTACACTCTAAATGAGGTGGACATTTGCCTTTAATTTCCGCTAAGTGGTCAACATCTCCCCAGCAGGGACCCAAATAGTGTTCTACTCTAATATTTGGAACTAAAAAAGCACCTGTCATCTGGAACAGTAGTACATGGTGTGCTTTTTAAATACCATTTTGAATAATTACCTTCTTACATCTGCTTAGACCTGTGGTTTGATGACAGGGAAGAAGAAGCAGTACAAGAACAGGAGGAACAATAAGTATCACTTTTTTGTTACTGGTTTGTAATCAGTATTGTGCTGTTTAGAGTAAGTATACTGTCACTCGAATAACTGATATTTTTATACATGCTTACTAAACTAGAGTCAACCTCTTGTATGTCAAATACATACCTACCTAAAGTGACTCACTGGTTCAAAAATGCAAAAATAATATCTACAGTACATCTTCACCTTTCCCATCACCAGTTGCTCAGACCGTCTCTCTCCTACAAAGCTACTGCGTAATCTTCATCATCTGATAATATTGGGAATGTTGGATACCTGTATCACTTGCCAACTGATGTGGCTGTGGTGCGGCAGCCTGTCCATACGTCACTACTGTGTCCTGTGATGATATAAGGGGGGCCAGCAGAAAAAAACCACAGTGCACATCCAACAATCAGGCATCCAACACATCTCAAAATCAGATGTAAAATTGTAAAAATTCTGTAGAGCTGTAGCTCTGAAAAAAAGCTGAGAAAATGCTATAGCTCTGAAAGAGTCATGTTAAGGTGTCACGTAACTCACATCACAGAAAACTATCAGTAAATGCTTTATTACATGCTGTTCATACTCACCCAGTCACTATGGTATTTGTTTTCTGTATTCTGCAAAAAACTGGTTGATCCTGCTGTTCTTTATCCACCCGTTTGTCCATGTCGCTAATGCATTTGGGGATTTGGCAGAACAGTGTTGGCAGCTAGTGCACATGCTCAGTTTTCTGTGAGTTTCTATGCTGAGCATTTCCTCCCTATCACATCTAAGCCACCCATGTGACTATATAATCACACATGCGGACTTAAACACAGTGATAAATGACAGCCCACTCCCTCCCTTCTCCTCAATGCCCACTAACCAGCTAAACACAATAGGGGTGGGATATAACATCTTGATTGATGGAGGCTTCACCTACATATTATTTTAAGACACAGGCTGGAGGGACGTGACTGTATTCCAAAGACTGTTTTTGTTTTTTTTGAACATGTGACCAACAGTAGAGGGCTAGAAGCTCCTCCTGGCACTGTTTTCCTGCAGACAGGCTGGAAAAGAATTGGGTCATGTGACAGCTGTATATCAATTAGGAAAAAGGTACTTAGATGGCCATCATCCACATACATAAAGGGAAGGGATAATGTAAATTAAACAGTGTGTGTTTAGCATCACTTTAAAGATTAAAATTTAACTCCGTTGTGAGAAATGTTGAGAACCTCTGTCAAGTCTGCTGTGATCCTGTCTGGGAGATTCTTTTTCACTTTTTGTCCTAGTGACCATTGTCATGAATACCAAAATTAAGGGAAAATCGTAAATGCTATAGTTTTCACGAAAAAACTAGGAGTGGCAAGTAAATATACCATTGGTGATACTAGTTACAGTAACAACTGTAAATGTGGTGCTTTCTCCTCTCTACGGGATACTGCAGAGGACAGTGCCAGATAGGAAGTAATTATTGCCAAATGAGTTATATCTGGGGGACAAGAAAAAAGTAAAAAAAAAATAGCCAGGTGTAGGACTTTAAACATATGCACTGCATGTATATGAGGTGGTTATAAGGTTTTAAAACATTTGTGTTGTTTGTTTAAACATAATAGCATATATTAGAATGCTCTTTTATTCCAGAAAAAAAATAAACATTCATTATACTTCGACATTCCGCGTCTTTTGTCCATGTCTTATTTTTTGGCAGCAATTAATATGGCTTGGGTATGTCAAAGCAGCCTCTATTACCTTTATTTGATCTCTAGTCTAGTCAGCTTTATTTATTTATTTTTTAAGCTTTGCAAGCCAACTAAGATACCAATTAAGGCCTTAGATGGCACAAACTTAGCTTGCTTAAAAATCTCATGTCAAAACAAATTTGCTAAGAGCCTTACATCTCTTGGCGTTGCAGTTAGGAATTAAAATCTGGAACCAAAATTGCAACAATAAAACATTAAATTCGAAGTAAAATATTTAGTCTCTTCTTTACGATGGTGGTTGTAAATAAACGTTTGTAAAAATAAGTATTTCTGGCAGATAAAGATTTGGTTTTTTTTATTTGTTTGTTATTTTAATACATTTTTTTTTTATTTTTATGTATAAACATACAAATAATGAAAAAACAGACAATATACATTCAACACAAAAGAGAGCCTATTAATGTTAAGTTTTAATTTCCGGATAAGAAGTCCATACTGGATTGGATATACAACATCAACAATGATCAGTTTTACAGCAACATAATAGTTAGCATCAAATAACATTTAGCCTCAACCTGACTAGGCATCCAATAAGTAGCGTGTCTATTTCATGGTGAAGATGGAAGTATTGTAGGGTCCCTCCGCTGTGAGTACCACTGCAGCCAGGGCTGCCATACTTTAAGAGCAGCACTGTACCTCCCCATGCTAGACGCAAAGAGTAATTCGTAAGTACTATGGGTATTAAATATTTTAATTACTTCTCCAAGGCCTAGGGCCCCTGGGTCTTTCCAATGTCTAATGATAGTAAGGCGTGCTGCAATCAGAACATGTATTATTATGGTTCTAAACATGGGGGTGTGGACTATATTCCCAAAGCTAACGAAGCCATACCCAGAGTGAATACAACAATAACTCCAAAGATCTGGGCAACAAGACTGAAAACCCCAGATTAAAATTTGGCAAGTTCCGGACAGGCCCACATAGTGTGAATTAGGGTTCCTGTACAACCTCTTCTCCTCCAGCAAGTTGAAGACACTTCAGAGGAAAACTTAGATATCCTATAGGGAGTCAAGTACCAATGCAGCAGTATTTTTTGTGTAATTTCCCAAAGATTTACACTCTTAGTAGCTATATACAGTTTCAAGAAAAAGTATGTGAACCCCTTGGGATTACGTGGAGTTTTGCATGAATTGGGCATAAAATGTGCTCTGAACGTCATCAAAGTCACAACAATAGAAGAACACAGTCTGCTGAACATTTTCTCCTTTTCTCGATCTGGAAGCTCTTTATCTGTGAATGTGTGCGTATATATGTAGCTATGGGTTCCATCAGTAAATTAAAAATGAGCAGAGAGAGAGGGCATCCTTGTCGGGTACCGTTGGATATATTAAATGAAGTTGACAACAGATACATAGACCTGAGCCGTGAGGTCAGTATACAGTGCCATTATGGATGAATAAATTGGGCCTTGAAATCCAAACTTAGTAAGTATTTGTGCCAGATACACCCAATGTATTGTATTGAATGCCTTCTCCACATCCAAGGCTAGTAGCAGAGAAGGCATTCTGTTTTTATTGGCTAGGTGTATAATATTAATCAGGTGTCTAGTTGCGTCTACAGTTTGGTGACCTTTTGTGAATCCAGATTGGTCTAAATGGAGGAGTTAGAGTAATATATGGTATTAGCTACCAATTTTGCATATATCTTTAGATTGTTATTTAGCAGTGAAATGGGGCGAAAATTATGCGGTGTGGTAGGTTCCTTCCCTGGTTTTGTTAGTGCCCTAAGCATTTCGGAAGGGAAAGAGGCAGAGGTAGCGGCATGCTTATACACCTTCTTCAGATGTGGCGTAAGAATATGTTTAAAGGTTTTATAGTATTCCCCTGTCAAGCCGTCTGGGCCCGGTGATTTGTTATTAGGTAGAGATTCAATAGTGCGGATGGTTTCATCATCAGTAAAGGGGAGGTTATTTAATTGGTCCTCCAATAATTTGGGGAGGTGAATTGTTTTTTTAAAATTCACTAATGCGCTCCGCTGTGGGCTGGGGAGTGTTAGGGTCCTGGCTAAGAGAGAGCTGTAGTATTGACTAAAGGTGTCAGCTATAGCTTGAGGGTGATATAACTTGTCTTGTTTGAGTGAATAATGAAAGGTATTTTGGTTTTATATCTATGGCCCCTAAGACGATTAGCTAGGGCTTTACCCGCCCTGTTGCCACTCACGTAGTATGACATCTTTACCTTCTAGAGGCTTTTTCAAAATCTTCTAACGAAATTAGTCTAAGATCATGACGTAGTAATGTCAGTTGGTCTGAGAGTGATTTGGAGGGAGAAGTTTTGTTGGTCGTTTCCAACATGTGTATTTTCGTAATGTTATCCTGTATTAGCCTTTCCCTATGCCTCTTAACCCTGCTCCTAGTTTAATAAGAATACCTCTCACAAAGGCTTTATGAGCATTCCACATAACAGACGGATCCTCAAGAAATGGGGCATTAAGGTAAAAAAAATTCAGTTAAGAAGCTTTCTAGCATAAGTTTGGAAGGATCAGCCTGGAACAGCTGTGGGTTGGATCGCCATATATGGATAGGGTTGAAAGACGAGTTATCTCCAACCGACAGCCTCACCAAGGCATGGTCCAACCAAGTTATGGCATTAATCTCGGTAGATTTCATTTTAGGTAAGAACCACGACAACAAATAAATCTGTTCTAGTATATGTGTTATGTCTTGTGGAGAAGAAGAAGTAGTCTCTTTCATTGGCGTGCTTGCAGCTCCATACATCAAATAGCTTGAGGTTGTATAGTAGTGGTTGTAATGATGCTTGGTGCCTTTGGGTAGCTGTGGTAGAGTCTGTCTTTGGATTAGGTGTGAGATTGAAATCTCCACAAAGTAATAGAGAGCCTTGTTGTATTGTACGGATCTTTTTTAAGACTTTATTAAAAATTTTTATCTGGTGCCTGTTCGGGGAATAAATGTTAGCCACGGTGTATGTGGTAGAGTTAATGTCACAAACTAAAATGTGGTAATGGCCCTGTGGATCAGAAATCTCTCTATGCAACGCAAAAGTGACAGATTCTCTTATAGCTGTTAATACACCTCTTTTCTTTGTATCCACGTTTGCCAGGAAGATGTGAGGATATTTAGCAACAGAACACTTAGGGTGGTTTTGGTTTTGGAAATGCGTTTCTTGAACGCAGAGTACATCGCAGTTGAACTTTGAAGCCTTTTTCCACAAAGACGTGCGTTTTGATTCAGTCCTCTTGCATTAATAGTGAGAAAGTTCACTGCCATTGTGTGTTTGAGGTATAATTTGATAGGTGTGTAAGTTGGAAACTTCCTTTCGGTCTTCCAGGATGTGTAAGTCACCCTTTGGTTGCATAGATGTCGCTACTGAAAAATATCCGCATGCAAGCTGATGTAATGGTGAAGGTATAGAAGGCTCTGACTGAAACAGGTAAGTTGTAAACCAAAAGGAAAAAGTAGTAACAGAATATGTATGAAAAAAAAAAAAAAAAAACCACAAGAACATGCAGGTCTTTGGGACCATTCCGCCATGCATGGTAAGAGGGGGAGAGTCCAGCTTACGAGCTCCTTCATTGCAGGGACTGAGAAGGAGGTAATCAAGTTTCCCACTTTTGGTCAGTTATAGGTATGTGAATTTTTGGATGTGACCATCCACCAGCTGTGATCAATACGAGTGGGATCATTTGTAGATGATGTTTGAGGATGGGTTTCAGGTAGTATGTTCCAAGACTTTAAAACGGCTAAACCCCTCACCATGCCATCAATCAGAAAATCAGTACCATCTTTAGTGACGATTAGTTTTGTCGGGAATACTCATTTGTAGCTGATCTTGTGATTCCTCAGTGCTTTTGCCATTGGAGGCCTCACCTGTCAATCACCTTGTCCCGGAAGGTGATTCGATGCGTATCACCGACGGGGGAGAGACCTGTATGTAAACAATACAGATTTCTCCCCTGTCAGCTCTTGCACATAGCAGAGCAATACAAAGCAATGTACTTACAGAGTAAAGCACACACACCGCACACAGTAAAACACAGCA